TTTATAGTGCCGCAAAACTAGAATTTAATATTAATATAACTGGGTTTTTTTGCTGTCTTGCTTGTTGGTTGACGATATATTAGCAAAATTGTTTTTGATATAGAATACGACTAAAAAAATTGTGAAGAGCAATGTTTTTTCATATTTCATTGTATTATTTTGTAGTTATTTTGAACAATAATAATTATGCTTTAATGATATTTACGATTATATAAAAATACATACGATAGCGTTCAATCATAATTAAGCAATTAAAAAGTTGTTTTCGGTTTCTTCTTAAGCCGCTCTTGCATGTGTGAAGCATTCTGCGTCGAGAATCATCGCGGCAAGAAGCCTCTCGTTTCGCAGCTCGAAAAGGCTAAAGTTCGAGGCGCTTCAAATGTTTTATTTTTTTTATTTCTGTGCCGCCCGCCGCTAACTGCCAGTCAGACATTATGCGATTTCTCCGAATGCGATCTAATAAATTCTTGCGCTCGTCAATTCATCTCTATCCTTCACTTAACCATTAATACCTCATAAAACGCCCCATATAAATAGAAACCTTGAGATTTTAAATCGCGGTTACCGATGAGAATATTTAAACAGGAATTTTGAACGAATTCTCGAATGCATTGTACACATCGGTATTGAATTAAGTGCATATCGGCTATCGATAATAACAACGCAAATCGAAATTTTATTATATGCATGTCAAAAATGACGCACCTGCACACTTCTGTATTCTGCTGCATTCTACGGGACAATAGCTATGACAACATAGTGCAGGACGGTTTACATGTTCAATCGAGGCAAAAAATATTATAATTCATTCAAGATCCTATTGAAAAACTCCTGTTACTACTTACTCAAGTTATAATAGTTTACAGTCTCAACTTGACTCTTTCCACTCTTGGTGTATCTATAACAAATTACATTTAAATATATCAAATGCAAAATTCTTAGTTTTTCACATAAGCGCGTTCCAATACTTGTTGATTATAAAATTTCTAACATTAGCATTGATAGATGTAATAAAATTTCAGATTTAGGTGTTCTATTTGATTCTGGTTTGTTTTTCACGGATCATATAACTGATATTTAGTAATAGAGCACATAAATCTTAGGTTTGATACTGAGAAATTGTAAACAATTTAAATCTACCAATGCACTTCTTTGCATGTACTATTCTATTGTACGTTCAAAATTAGAATACGGTTCGATTATTTGGTATCCTCATCAAATCAACAACTCTGATGCGATAGAGAAAGTTCAGCGAAAATTTCTGAAATACTTTATTATAAAACATATAAAATTTACCTTGAACGTGGCTTTGACCACAACACTTTACTAAAAAAATTTGGTATTCCTTGCCTCACGTCGATTTATCTGTACAATTATGTTCTTATTTAAGCTTTGCAATAATTCTATAGACTGTCCTCTTATTCTCAATCAACTATCCTTTAATGTTCCAAGGCTATCTACGCGTTCACAATTATTTTTCAATTATTCTAAATCTAATTCTCTCTTAAATTCGCCTATTTTACTTATGTCCTCTAACTTTAACTTAATTAATAATGAATTAGATATTCACAACACTTCACCTAATCAAATAATCTCCATCTGCACAAGTTAACCTTTTTATTTTCTTTTCAAATATCTCATTATTTTATCTATTCTGTTTATAAATATTATTGTTACATTCTGCATTATATGTAATTTTATGTTAAGCATTTTATGTTACTAATTATATATTGTAATTTTGTATATATTTTAATTGTTATTCATTATGTAAAATAATTGTATTTTTGAGTCCTCTTGGAGAAATCTGTGAGCTATATATTTAAATAAATAAATAAATAAATAAATAATAAGCCTCTAGCTGTCCTCCAAGATTTTACATAAAATATGCTGATTATCACTTACTAAATGTGTTAATTAGTAATTGGCGACCTGTTTGACATACGAGTCGATAATTTTAATTCCTATACGAAACCCTTCCAAGATGAGGGCACACCAGCCCGCGCTCGACACGAAGTCCTGTATCGTGGGAGCGAGCCCCCGGCGCCTCGTCTCTGTGGGTCAAGACACGACCGCCCCACGGCAGTCCGCATACACAGATCTGTTTGGAATACCTCTTTCAATGCCATAAATTACGATTCTGGCGATAATGCGTTAAAAACATCTTAGAGTATTAACGAGATATTGCCGTCGTTGACATTAAGTTATCGTCGGTGTATGAAAGAAAACGAATTCATTATTAGGCTCATGTGAGATTGTTAATCAGTACGCGAAATAATATATGTGATAGAAGGTGATATTTATTGATTAAAGATAAATAATTATTTTTTCATAAATATATGCCCATTACAAAGCTTCTTTTTCGAATCTTTTCAAGCTTTCAAGCTTTTTTAAGGGCATCTGTCTGCATACCGCGCACTTTCCAGCGGTATGGTTAATAGGCATAATAATCCTGATGGAAATACAATAACTTGATTCGCTTTAGTGTTCTGCAATATGAGAATGGGCACGCATAATAAGAGTGAAATGCCGAACACAACACAGCAAAAACCAAACAATACAAAACTGCAAAACCTCACGACTCGCATTACTGTCGCCAAATGCTCATGAAACGAGAATGAGCATTCCTTGATCTAATAGCACAAGAGCTGACGAATACAATTATATTTTCCTATACAAATAGTGAAGACGCAAAGCATCAAATTAAAGGACATTATAAGTCGATAATACTTTATCAAACCAATCTCATAAATAGTCATGTGAAAGACATTTTT